CGAAACGTTTCATTAGAGAAGAACCCGTCCAGAAGACCTATACAATTTTTTTTCTTTTAGGTCCACTAATTCTAAAGCACTAACGCACTGAAAAAAAATAGAAAAAGCTAATTCTAAAGCACTAAAATAACCCAGTTGATCCATGGAACATTCTTCAACAGGCAAYGAGCCACATGTTGCCATGTTGCTCTCTTAAGCCTTATCATTAACATTCCTCAGCCTTATTTRAGTTCATTTATTGTCAGTATGTCACCTGGTGGATAAGTGACACACATRTGAACATAATGTGTGATAGCTTTAACTGTCAGCTGTTAACATTAACATTGATCAATAACATTTATAGACGTCAGTTAGTGCTTCTAAATTTAGCAAGTGCTAATCCACTAATGAATTCTAAAATTAACAAAAGCCCTAAAGCACTAATCAGGAAATTAGTTCCCCTATTAGTGCTTTAGGGGAACTGTGCCCACCATTGCTAAATAACATAGAAGTGCAGAATACCACAGGGCTTTTTTTTTCACCATGACCTCCTGTAGTAGTGTYCAATATATTATGATTCTACTACACATGGAACACTAAATGTACCAATTAATAAATCCTACATTTGCTTTGTGATTGCAAATTCTACGCTGTTTTCTGTTGATGTCAGCAAACTTCCTGTTCGAGACGTTGGAGGACAAACAACAAACTCGCCACACTTTACTCATTYTCCTCTTCTATCGATGCAAAATGCCCAGTTTCTGTGCTTTTGTAAGCTACTGTAATCGGCGACACAGAAATGGGTTGAGCTTTTACCATTAATCGGCCAATTATCTATAACCAGGGAAAGGAAAGGGCTTAAAGATCAAGAAAAAGATGATCATTATGGTCGTCAAGAATCGCATAGAAGGAGTTTAATGACTCAACCCTACATATGTTTGTGTCTTCTCTTCTCACGTCTTATCAGTCTGGATCTCTACTATTATATTTCCTTTAGTTAATTTCCATTTTTCAATTTAAAACGTGTTGAATAGTTTTACGCATCACCGGGCTGGTGCTTGGACAGACAATTTCTATAAAATAAAATTACAATCTGGTTGTAACGTTTTGCTCTCGTATGTGAAATACAACAGCAAATTTGTTGGGTGGCTCAGTTGGTAGAACTGTTGACTCTCAGCAAGAAAGTTGCTAGATCGATTCCCGGTCGGGGATCTTTCTGAGATGTTTCTGTGTTCCTTCCATGCATGCATTTTTTTTGTTTGGTACTTTGGTTTCCTCCAACAGACCCTGACAAATACTGTATCATTAGTTGATCATCATTGATAATACTGTAGCATTAGTTTTTTATAGCCCTTTTGAGACCGTCAATGGCGCTTTACGAATTTATGAATGTTAGGCTAATTGGTAACTCTAAATTGTCCCTCAGTGTGAGTGTTGAGGTTGTTTGTCTCGTTTGTCTCTATGTGTCTCTGTAATGGACTTGTTCAGGGTGTACTCCGCCCCATGCTGCTGGATAACATATGCAACACTGTTTGAATTGTTTTTATATTTATATTTGTTTTTGTAATTATTTTAGGTTTTTAAACATGCGTGTCCTCTCTGACATTGATCAAGAAGTACTGCAGCTCCCTCTGCACCCCTACTTCCCACAGCCATGGTCAAAAATCCTTCTTGTCTAATTTTAGCTGTTGCTTTCCCCCCACTGTTTTAGAAGAGAAGAGTCTTTTGTCTGACAAAGCACTGCATGTGGACACGATGACCAGCTGTAAGTTATGTTCAGGTCAACAAGCTGTAACTTTAGCTTCTTAACAGACTTTACAAGAACTTAATAAATACCTTTCCCCTCCACTGCACTGCTAAGAAAGGGCTTCATCATTCTGTTAATAAGCTTGGTCTAATTCTTTAAGCAATGCAGAAAGCATGCAGATTTCTCAGTGAAATTCTTCTAGGGCTTTGTAGTGAAAATTGTTGGATTTGTTACAATTTTTTATATATTTTTTACAGTTAAAGATCTGCTGTCAAAGACGTTGCATTTATATCAATGTAAACACAAATAAAAATCCAGATACACAGTTGTTATTAGATTGATTAAAACAATATGGCAAAAAATAAACAAAACTAGTAAAAATTCTGAAGACATTAAAAAAAATGTGACTACAGCCACCATCTGAAAATCCAACAAACCTCAACTTTTTGTCTTTAAAGCCCAATAGGTATTTACTTTTTGAAATCCTACATTTTGATGTAGAAATGATACAAGAAATATAACAAAAAACAAGATCAAAGGAATTTTWTTGTAGTGYAGTGGTCACCTAGGGGTGGAATAAATAAGCTGCGTCCTCGTGAAGCACGAGCGCGTTCGCTGTCCAACTCAACTCCACAGACTGACTGCKTTAGTTCAGAAAWGTTRGTTTAAAWGAGAGGAAGTGTTATTGAGCACTGCCAGGTGTTGTTTGTCTTAAACAACATTGTTGACGTCTGCACAGTCGAACAGCTCGTTCTGACCTGCTCTATGCTGAGACCATTTTAAAGAACAAAAATACTGATTTACTGAAAACTTAAAAATGAATTATTTCATATAAAACATTCATTATAATGATTCAGATCAAATAATTATAAAATGTTTCAAAATAAAGCTTAACTATAATGCAAAGTTTAGTTTAGTAAAATATTTAAACTTAAAAATCTATAATCTATAATCAATTACTGTGGTTTCACAGTAAAAGTTCAAACAGTGATTTACATCAAAGCACAATAAAACATTGTAATAACATTATTTTGTGTTTTCTTTTATTGTACATTGATACAATTATGAATAAAATAAGATTATTCTGTTTATTTCTGATTAATAAGAAGAAAATTTCTCTTTACTGTTTAAGAAAACACGTTATGACTTTAAAGGCACAGTGTGTAGGATTTTGTCAATTCTTTTAGCTGAAACTGAGATAATCACTAATGACAATAATAAAAAACATGTCTAATCATTGCAGACAAAGACCTTGTTTTATTATTTTTACCTTATAAAAAGCTGTTTATATCTCCATGGTCGCGGGTCGCCACAACAGGCAGCCGCCATCTTGCACCGCCATCTTGTCAACGAAGGCTCATGAAGGACAAACTGYGGTGGCGGCGTCAAAAACGGTTTTAGTTGTAATACTATAAATGTAATGTTGTCTGTCATTGTAGCTGGGATAATTTTACTYATTAAAGCTCATAATCTTACCACTTGAAACATCACTAGCCCTGAAGCTGCTGGTAGACAACGCGGTTGGAATTATCAAAGGTTTTTGACACCTGAGAGACACCGTAGCAACTCCTTTGCGTTTGGAAGCGGGCGGTGGGGGTGGGGGGAGGACCAGGGAGGATGATTCAACCACTCAACCACTAGATGTCGCTGAAAACAACAAATCCTACACACTGTGCCTTTAACTTGAGCAGAGTTCTGTCTCTTTAAAGGAGGCCTTCTGAGACCAAGGTCAAAGACAGGTGGAACTGTTTATTCCACCCCTAGGTGACCACTACAGTAGTGATTGACTAAATTGTATCTACACCATACACCAGATTTACTGATTGAGCCGCATAATTTCATGTATTTTTATAGGGTTTTTCTTAAGCTCCAAGAGCAGATTTGAATCAGAAATTGTGACGAAGGATAACACGAGTGCTCGAGCAGTGGCCTCACTAAGAATAAAAAGAGGGAAAAAAATATTTACTACAACTGCGATCTTACAAACTGTGGGATGAAAAATGAGCGAGTTGTTTAAAGTTTATTCCCGCTGGCTGCTTTCTCGTGGCTCGACGTTGGCCTTTGTAGCGAGGAGGCAGCCAACCTAAAGACGAGCCGCTGCAGGCCGAGGGAACCAGAACAGAGCAGAGGTTGGGTTCACCTAATGTTTAAAGCACACAGAGGAGGAGGGCCGGAGGCAAAAAAAAAAAAAAAACAAATAATAAAATAAAATGAATAAAAGCAGAGGCAGCTCGGCAGGAATGAAGGATTAGTCACAGCCACAAATCTTCCTCTGATCTTTACTCACGCTTTGTCTTCGTTTCTCGTCTTTACGCCCGTTCCTCAATCTCACGGCGTAATTGATCCGCCTGTAAGTGACATTTAACCCCCACGGGGCTCCTGAATAAATCCTCGGGTTGAAAATCTTGTCCGACGGTGATGCAGAGTCGGCTGTTTTTGTCACGGTGAGCAGCGAGGAGGACGGGTCGAGGAAGAGCCACGAACAGCGCTTCATCACAGCCTTACAGAGTTGTCACGCTCATTGGGTTAGACGCACAGCTGTTCCTTTCAGTCACCACTTTAGCTAACGTTTGTGCCAGGACTCGGAATCCTTCACTGATAGGCAGGACTGATCTGCTGTGTGAACACGTTTTGACCTGCTCACATCCCGGAGTCTCTAGAAACTCATTGAAAAGCTTGTTAGACTTTAAGTTACCTAAAAGGCCCGTGATTAGTTATTAAACGAATGCTACAGTTTTACCTCTCGAGAATGTCCTGCAGCTAATGCTTTTAATAATTAAAGGCCCGGAAGTGATGCAAGTTTTAAACCAAGAACACCTTATGATGAGGAGGGATGGAGTTGTAGCCGTTTTGGTCTATCTTAGTAAATAACTGAACCATACCTAACTATACCAAATGTTAACTTGATATCTGTACAATTGAAGCGACCGATCCTGCTTTTAAATCCTTTCTTTTCATATTTAAATCTTTCTTTTATGGTCTACATAAAGTGGAACTGCCAACGCTTTGCTCTGAATTCCTACTTATTTTAACTCCAAAGGCCCCTCTTTCACACCTGCTTTGAGGTGCCTCTGAGAGCTAGGGGTGGGTCATCGATTCCATCAACACCAAGATGAGTATCGGTATCAGATCGATGCTAGTGTGATGAGATCAATTCTTCATTTTACACTTTATTTAAAGTTTAACTTTAATTAAAAAAAAGTCAGTAACGCAGAGTCTACAGACTGTGCCTGCAATATGTGTAGTAGAAGGTAACGGGAGTTATTTTACTTTTAAACTCTTACATTTTTTTATTTTGCTGTAGTTGGTTAATAGAAACATTTGCTTAAAATCTTTGTCCTGAATTTTTTTGTCATAACTGACTAAAGAAACTCTGTAAAAAAAACTCTGAGTTCCTTTAAATCAAGACTGAAAACCCATCTGTTTAGAGTTACTTATGAAACATTATAAATGAAACATTAATAAATATTTTGATGTGTAACGGTGATACCTGACAAACTGTCATGCTCCAATTGTTAACTGTGTTCCATGACTTTGTATTTGTGTTTTTATGATGTGAAGCATTTTGAACTGTCTTGTTACTGAAATGTGCTATACAAATAAACTTGATTGACAAAGGCAAAATCACACAATTGTTAAATGAACATGACAAGTATCTGTATTGAAATTGGTGATGCAGACGCGATAAAAATACCCAATTGGTGAGAGAAACTCGTTTTGGTGCTGTCTCTTTGAATACACATAAAGCATTTCACCTCTCACCCCTCAGTGATCATCATCCACTCCACAACGTTCGGCCATTTTTACCATTTGATAGCAGAGACGTGATTATCTTGCAGAAATCCTAGAAACTCTAAGTACACAACAAAATGTCTTTAAGGAATGAAAAGATGGATTCTGCTTGATACGTTTCCTTTCAAGTAAACAAAAACCCAAGAAAAAACATCTTTATTTTTCTCTGTCTTTGACAGTACCTCCATCCCCCATCGCGCCGCCTCAGCTGCTGCGCGCCGGCTCCACCTACCTGATCATCCAGCTCAACACCAACTCCATCCTGGGAGACGGCCCCATCATCAGGAAGGAGATCGAGTACCGAGCCAGTCAGTCCCCGTGGTCCGAGGTGCACGGGGTCAACATGGTCACCTATAAGCTGTGGCACCTGGATCCGGACACCGAATACCACATCAGCGTGCTGCTGACCCGGCCTGGAGAAGGAGGCACCGGCCCTCCTGGTCCTCCTCTTGTGAGCAGGACCAAGTGCGCAGGTGAGCTTTCCATCGCTTTTCACCAGTTCTTTTTTTCTAAAATTGGTGACTTTTACCCCCAATTTTTAAGCCTTGCTTGAACATCTGAGGATTTAGGTGGTGATTTTATCAAGTATTTCACAAACACGAGCAGCAGCTGCTTCTGTCTTCCAAGTTGAAAACAACCTTCTCCCAGCTTTCATTTATATTGCATGGCGTTTGTTTTAAAGGTACCTGCCGGGGATTTTCTTGTAAGCAAATAAAATTTATGTCTACATTCTGTGGAACTTATCAAAGTGCTCCTCTTGTACCCTTGATTCCTCACTCTTCAGAACTCAAAAAACCCCTACAGGAAACCTTTAGTATGAATAATACATCGATTATTGTCTGCCTCATCAGTAGTTTGCTCTAAATTTTGCATTGTTCAGAAGAGAACTGTTGTTTTCTTTTTGTAGTTTTATCAAGTGTTGGTTTTGGAACACAAACAAAATAACGTTTTTTATATAATAGGCATTGGAACTATTATAAAAACAGACTTTTTGAACACAAAGTAAAAAAAAAGTAAAGTGAAAGGACTGTTTAGATGATGAAATGCAGTCTTAATGAGATGATTCTCATTTACCAACAGAGCTGCTCAGTAAATTTAATTGTCCAGGCTCGTACCTATAAATATGTCTCATAAACATGATTCCTTTGCATGTAATTAGGACATTCTAATAAAGATCCTCAGCTCAATGTACCGATGCCCCGCGGCCTCATGCTGTAACTTATGTAACATAATGAGACTCTTTCATTATGAAGCCAAATCTGTCCCGATAATCTGCTGAAAATTCAATCAGAGAGGAGCCGATAGACAAACTCTGACTCAGTCACCGGGCGGAGTTATCTCATAAGAAACGACACATTTGTTATCACGGATGTTCTCTGAACTCCGGAGCTGTGGGAGACTGAAAGCGAGACTTTTAATTGCTGCTCGCATGGTAATATCGGTTTGAGGGTTATTTAAAAGATAACAGATGGATGATTGCAGGGGCTAGCCTCGAGCCTGAGTCGTTGGTGCGTTCCTCAGAAGATAGAAGTATGTAAGTTTAGAGACATGACGTTAAGAGTTTTCTTGGTTTTGGCATCTGATTAGCACGCTGGTGGAGTTAGCGAGGTGGGTTAGTGAACAAAACAGCTGAGTTTTAAGCCATAAGAGTTCAAACACAGGGTTATTTGACTATTTTCAATCAATCGGTGTTGTAGTGTCAAATTTCTACTGTAACACTTTCAAACACTTTTAGAAGTTATTTTTTGTTGACAAATCCTACATTGGCTCTGCGTCTGCTGTAAAGCGGGCGCTGTACCGGTCCGTCGTGGTGAAGAGAGAGCTGAGTCAAAAAGCGAAGCTCTCGATTTACCAGTCGATCTATGTTCCTACCCTCATCTATGGTCATGAGCTTTGGGTCATGACCAAAAGAACGAGGTCCCGGATACAAGCGGCCGAAATGGGTTTCCTCCGCAGGGTGGCTGGGCTCTCCCTTAGAGATAGGATGAGAAGCTCAGTCATCCGGGAGGGACTCAGAGTAGAGCCACTGCTCCTCCACGTCGAAAGGAGCCAGTTGAGGTGGTTCATCTGGTTAGGATGCCTCCTGGATGCCTCCCTGGTGAGGTGTTCCGGGCACGTCCCACTGGGAGGAGGCCCCGAGGAAGACCCAGGACACACTGGAGGGACTATGTCTCTCGGCTGGCCTGGGAACGCCTTGGAGTTCCCCCGGAGGAGCTGGAAGAAGTGGCTGGGGAGAGGGAGGTCTGGGCCTCCCTTCTGAAGCTGCTGCCCCAGCGACCCGACCCCGGATAGGYGGAAGAAAATGGATGGATGGAAATCCTACATTGCTGTATGTAGTGGAAAACAACTTAAGGTGCAGAAATATGTGATCAAAAATGTTATTCACTACAATGGTCTCCGAGTCATTTTATTGCAATAAAATGAGAGTTAACATAGCAATACAAGTTGAGTCTGAGGACACAGCCCCAGTGAAATATATTTTATTCTCTTCCAGTAGAAACCAGTCCAAAACCAGTTCCTATTTGACGTGCAAGTAGTGGTTCTTATCTGAGCAGCAAATATTCCTAGTTTCAGTTAAAATCCCGTTACATGGTCCTTCAACAAAGAAGAACATCTTAAAATATGGTTATAATTCCTATTTTATTGTTACATGTTCACACTGCAGTAGTGCAGAAACCACAGTCGTATGCAGTGGTGGACAAAGTACTCAACTCTAGTACTTGAGTAAAAGTATTGATACTCATGGTCAAATCTACTCCACTACAAGTAAAAGTTACTCAGTCAAAAATCTACTCAAGTAAAAGTACTGAAGTACTTACTTTTGAAAATACTTAAGTATTCAGAAGTACATGCATTTTAAAGTACTTAAGTACAAAGTAAAAGTACAAATTACATATTTTTCTTTTCTTTTTCTTGTCACTTCAGTAGAAAACTAAACTAAATATTAGTTTATTTAGTTTATTTATTCATCATCAGTGATCTTTTTTTAAGTGAAGAGAAAATAGAGACAGAGAGAAAAACAGAGAGAGAAGTAATTAGAACGATAGAAAGATTGAAATAGCGATTAGAAGTATATTAAATATACACCAACAAAACACAGGACCACACACCCAACATCTGTCCGCTCACCTGAAAAATAAATGGATAAATACATAGAGGGCATATATAAAAATATACACATACCCATACATATATAAAGATATACATACATACATGCCTACATTCAGAAATATTGTCAGTATATACACATAGACATATATACACACTCAGTGACCAGTCAGAACTATAAGCTACGCATGTGATTGGTTACCTTTGTGATGAACATAGCTTGTGGCCAATTGCATTTCATGAAAAGAAAAACCGGAACAACGGATTTTTTTCCTTTCTTTTTTTTTTACAGCGGATTATAAAGCTATGCTGATCTAAAAGAAACGACTAACTACAAGCTTCCTAGAAATGTAGTGGAGTAAAAAGTACAATATTTGTCTTTGAAATGTAGTGGAGTAAAAGTAAAAAGTTCCCAAATAAATAACTACTCAAGTAAAGTAAAGATACTCAAAAAATGTACTTAATTACAGTAATAAAGTAAAAGTACTTTGTTACTGTCCACCACTGGTCGTATGAGAAGTTAAAGCTTGAAGAACAAGAAAAGACACATTAAAGGTGCCCTGCCGGAAACTTACAACATGAGTTAAAACAATTCAGAATAATGTTACAATGAATATTTAGTGTATTTTATGAATAAAACATAGCTGAAACACCGTCAAAATATAAATACATGGGCAACAATTTTATTTTCCTTCACTCTGCATGACCTGCTGTCTTCGATTCATCCCACTAACAAGGGTTGCTGGTTTTTTGCCTCCGATTTTGAGTGATTGTAAAAAATGTTTTTAAAATGTACAATTTGGCATTTGTTTATTTTTCTTGTGCTGAACCCACACAAACTCTCATACCAAGCTATGTTACTGAAGATTATTATAGTTTGAATTTATACCTGAGTAAAAAGGGGCAGATATTATAAGATTTTGTTCTTCTCTCTTCCGCCTTTCATTTAATTTTATTTGTATTTATTTTTTATTGTACAAAAAGTTTTTTTTAATGGAATGAATAAAGTTTGAAAAAAATAAAAATAAAAAAGTACCTAACTAAGACATACACATACCATAACACCCCTAAGACTGAAGCTATAAAACCTTTTATTTTAATTTTGGTAACATTATGCTGACGTACACAGTATCTTTCTAATATGCGTTATTATGTCTCTTAAAAATTACGCAACACTTTTGAATACACACCACTGTTTTTAGTTCATGGTTGAGTCTACAGAGCACAATAACGGCAAGGAGAGAAAAAAATTTTTTGAAGCCTATAAGAAAAGCAGGTTTTACTTTGGAATCACATTACAATTTAGGGATTATAGACACAACAAAGGCTTTGAATGGGAACACATCGTACAGTAGCAAAGCAGGATGTCATGTAGGCATGAGTCACGCAATCTAACATGTATAAAATGTAAATGAAGACAATATTTTACAAATTGTTTTATTTTGAATAAAAGATAACTTATGCACAGTGGGTATTTTCTTTCATTTATATGAAAAACAGTCTTTGTTTAGATGACAAGCAGAAATTTAAGCAAAATCGCTGTTATACCCGTGGTGGTGTGGACTTCTACATTACTGGAATATCAAAATATAAAAGCAGAATATTGTTAGCTTGACTTAACGTCTCAAAGAGCTTTAGCTTGGGGGGGGGGGTATTTACAATTGCCTTTCAGTTATTAACCATCAACGCGCATATTTAATTAGTAACAGAATCAAGCTTAAATAAAAAAGTCATTAAAAAAGTCAGTCTTTTTTGTACGTACAGCAAACATAGGTGTGAGTAAAGTATTTCAAACTCAAACTATTTCATTCCATAAAAACAAAATTATATGTACAATAAAAAAGAAAATACAAATAAAATGAAATGAAAGGCGGCAGAGAGAAGAAAAAAATCTTATCATATCTGCCCATTTTTTCTCAAGTATAAATTCAAACTATAATAATCTTCAGTTAACAAAACAAAACATTGAATCTTTCAGGAACGACAAATTGAATGGCTACATATTAAACCATTTMATTTGTTTTTAAAAATCTAATCTTTATCATTCTCTTAAACATATACAGTATATTGATGTGACATTTTTAACATCATCTTCCAAATTATTCCACAATCTCACTCCTTGGATTGAAACAGACTGCAGTATCTTAAAAACTCAGTGTCTCAYGTCTACGTTGACCCATGAAAATAAAGTATTCAAATGTCTCCATGGAAGGCAATAAATGCATTTATAAAATTATCCAGTAGTAATACCATATCAGTATCTAGTATCACGTTAAATGTTGTGGAAATGCTGCAAAAAAAGGTCCATCTTATAAAGTAATTGGAGTAATGTCGACAAATTATTATTATTTATTATTTATTTACC